CTTCAGCCTCCTTCACATTGGGCTGACGTGGCGAGCCGAAGACAGCCTGACGACTTCTTGAACGACTGACGGAGGGTGGGCTGTTGACTCAGAATGATCTTCACGACCGGAACATCAAACATGAAAAAAACGTAACTATCCTGGCAAGAGACCCCAAACAGTGTGCGTGAGGTCTATAAGCAGAAAGTCTAGAGATCTAGACGCATTGGGGTCCAAAGAGGTGATGGTGGTGATGAAGGTGGGGATCGTGGTGATGGTGGCGGTGGTGGTGAGTGAGTGAGTGAGTGAGTGAGTGAGTGGGTGAGTGAGTGAGTGAGTGAGTGAGTGAGTGAGTGTGAGAGTGAGAGCGAGTGAGTGTGTGTGTGGGTGTGAGTGAGAGTGTGAGTGAGTGAGAGTGAGTGTGGATGAGTGCGAGTGTGAGTGAGAGTGAGTGTGAGTGAGTGTGAGTGAAGAGTGAGTGTGAGTGAAGAGTGAGTGTGGGTGTGAGCGTGCGTGAGTGAGTGAAAGTGAGAGTGAGAGTGAAACAGTGAGCATCTGAGCACAAAGTGCTGCGCCTGCGCCGGAATCTGCACTTCGAGGTTGACAAAGTACTGCGGCTGCCACGAAATCTGCGCTTCGAGGTTCACCAAGTGCTGTGCCTGCCACGAGATCTGCACATCGAGGTTCACCAAGTGCTGTGCCTGCCACTAAGTCTGCACTTCGAGGTTGACAAAGTGCTGGGCCTGCCACGAAATCTGCACTTCGAGGTTCACAAAGTGCTGTGCGTGTCACGAAATCTGCACTTCGAGGTTCGCAAAGTGCGGTGCCTGTCACGAACTCTGCACATCGAGGTTCACAAAGTGCTGTACCTGCCACGAAATCTGCGCATCGAGGTTCACAAAGTGCTGTACCTGCCACGAAATCTGCAAACGAGCCACATGTCGAAAAGCACCGACTCACTGCACCTGTCACGAAATCAGAGCTTGTCGAAGATCACCACCATGTCCAAAGTGCTGCGCCTGCCACGAAAACAGAACTTCGTCAACCACGAAAACACGAGGTTTCTCTTGCGCCTGCCACGAAAAGTCACCACCATGTGCGAAAATGCGCGCGGCACCACAACGAGAGCGCAGTCGTTAGAAGCACCCGCCGCAAACACCCAGATTCAGCGATTCTGTAAATAGCAGCGAATTAGCCGGACACGCCTGTGCGCTTCAGCGATCTAAGCATCAGCTGCTTTTCTACCGTAAGAACCCCTTAGTGTGTTCACACTGTTTGGGGAAAAACAGCGCAGGATTCATAGTGTTGTCAACTTGTTCACTCTCCTTTTACTGGGAAAAAAGATTGGTTGCGCTCTGGACGCAAATGAGGATGCATTCAGCCTCATCGCGCACGCAGAATGACGTAAAGCGACCAACTTGAGATAGGAGGGGGTGAACCAAAGGTAGCAAATGGGCTCAGGTCAACCTTTCCTTATAAAAGCACTTGCGACTATGCGATTCCCAAAGAAAAAGACCGTGCCCAAGGCGGTTCTAACTGATCTAGTTTGAATTCGAGTTCGAACCAGAGGTTGCAGGCCATACCCCAACAAATCCTAAAGACTTAAAGAAGTGAAGCCCTCACCCACAGAGACCCTATGAAGCAACCCCTGCAAGCCAAACCCAAAGAAACCCTAAAGACTGAAGTGAAGCCTTAAGCCCACAAGCCAAAGAAACCCTAAAGAAGTGAGACCCGCAAAGCCAGCGAAACCCCGGCAAGACAAGCCCAAAGAACCCTCAAAGTAATGAAGCGCCAGCACGGCAATCCCAAAGTAGTGAAACCCTACACCATTTCCAACCCAAAGAAATCCTAAAGAAGTTCACGAAGACCTAAGCCACAACTAGAGAAGAAACTCGAACACCCGGAACATCACTCACCTATGCTATAGTTCCAGCGTTGAGTTCTAGCTGCTTCAGCTCGAATTCGGGTTCGGGTTCGAATTCGAGGCTCTTATGCTTCCAGGGTTGAGCTCTAACCGTTCCAGGCTTCTTCTAAAATGACTTCAAATTCCATATCAGCTCTCCTTACTGCTCTTCTTCTGCTTCAGCTTTTTGGGTTCCTCAGGCTCTTCAGCCTCCTTCACATTGGGCTGACGTGGCGAGCCGAAGACAGCCTGACGACTTCTTGAACGACTGGCGGAGGGTGGGCTGTCGACTCAGAATGAAAAACACATGAAAACAACGCAGGATTCATAGTGTCAACTTGTTCACTCTCCTCGTAGTCTTCTAGTTGGGAAACATTTCCTTGAACACCTCCCTTGCTCCGCCAGGTCCTTGGATCCCACCAACCCCACCACCGCCCCGCTATGCTTTCAGCAAGGCCACTTCGCGGCTTTCACGTCGCGTCTCGCCCGCCTCGAGACCGAGTCTCAGACCGGCCACGGACCGCTTCTTGCTCGTGCTCGTGCCTGAGACATGTCAAGACCGCCAAAGAAGGGAAGGAGAAGATACTCGACACATCTAAACAGCATGGGAACTCAATTTCACTTTTCCACTGCGAAACCCAAAGCGAGCGCCCAAAAAGCTGTGGCTGAGTGCCCGACAAGGAGGCTTCTTCTTGGCCTTTCGGGGAGCGTACGCGCGCTGTTCGCTCGACCGCGCAGCAAGTCGAAACGCTTGGGAACACATCGCACCATCCTCATCCCCGAACAGCCGTTGCATCTCCAGATATGCATCCACATTCACCGCAAGTACTTTGGTCGGCCCAAGGGCCCAAGGCCCAGCTCCCTCCCTCCTCGTGAAGGGATCTGGATCAATCTTTTTGCAGTCGTTGACTTGGAAACGTTTCCGCCTTTTCTCCCCTCCCTTCTTCCCTACAGCCTCTTCGAGCCAAACCCGCACCAACAGTACTTGAACGGCAATGTCCGCGTCCAATGCTTCCCGCGAGAACGCCAAGAGACGATGATGCATCTTCCCAAGCATGGTGGGAGAGCAGAAGACCCAAATAGACCTAATTCACATTGGGTTCCCATGAACCTCTTTTCACACAAAGTAGGGCATCACTTTTCCTGGATGATTAGGAAATTGTGTTCAGTTCTTGTTTAATGTTGCATGAACAAATTGCACAACCTCAACAGCCACATTGCCGATTCCTCCCATCCTCATGAAGAAATTAATGCGGCACCAAAAGCCATATGATGGTGAGTGTCACAAGGATAGGATTTGCTTGAATGCTTACTTTAAAACAAAAACAGCTAACAGGTGCAGCAGGGGCATGCATGTAGACTTCTACGCTTCATGGGAAACTGTCACAAGCCCTAAACCTCAACGAAAGGGTGAGGAAGTAGTAACAAAAAGCTATTAGAAACAAGAAACTACTAGAAACAGGTGCCACGCTAGTAGTAACAGGTGCCTTACTAGTAGTAACAAAAAGCTATTAGAATTAAAGTACTTTCAGCCTCAAAAGACGGAGTGAAAGTGAAGCTGTAGCATGTCAAGGAAGTGAAGGCTAAGTCGCGCAAAAGCGTTGGTCCCGGCTTCGTTTCCCAGTCGCGGCCATGTCCTCCCCAAGCGCCTTGGCCGTCTTCTTGCGTGGCGGACTCGTATCACTTGAATCGCTGCTGAACTCCACACGCGGCAGCCTTCCGGCCGGCACTGGGGGCCGAAATGGGAAACACGTCACAGCTTGGAGCCATGTTTGAGGGCGAGGTATGCTAACTGAGTTAGGTTTTCTGTTTATTAGGGGGCCTCTGCCAAAAGGTGTGGCAGAGGACCTTTGTAGCCTGACTTTCTTGCAACATGATCATGCTCCAGCTCATCGCAAGGACAACCTCAGATCTGCCATCAAGGCCATAGGAAACCTGTGGACCTATGTATCAAAAGCAGCTGATAAATACAGTCAGCGACCCTGCGATGGCTTATAAAGCAACATCACTTGCACAAAAGAAACAATATAGAGTTTCAAAGCAATGTGTTGCTTTCCTGATACTTTGACTTTTTGGGCTTTCTTAGATGCAAGCTCCCTGTTTAAATGCCAAGTCTTCATAAACTTTCTCCAGTTGTGGAGTGACAGTAGAAAAAAAACAATAGCACCAGTAGTGATTGCACTTGCAGTATGAATTGCCAACGCCCGAAACGGGCTTGTGCCTTGCTAGGTAGTCTTCGTGACGTTCCTCAAGATGTCGCGGTAGCCTTCCATACAGCAACTTCCTTAGGAAAGCCCCAAGAAGAGCGGCTTCGCTTCCATGGAGATGGGGTGGTCCGGTGTCGCCGACGGTTCCAGGTCTGTGTGGGCTATGCCTTCAGCAGCTCATTTTTCATCCACAACTAAGGGGCACCGCATCAAAACAAAAAACATATTTGGATGATGCGAACATGAGTCCAACTACGAGTTCATGCCGTCTTGGCACTCTGCACCCCGCTGGGGGTGCCAAATCCCAAACGATGGCAGCGCCCGCCCTGCGGTGTCCAGGCTCCAACGTGTACACCGCGGACACCGTGCGACAACAACACCCTTCAGCGGCACCCTGCAGCAGCAGCACCCAAGCTCCAACGCAAACATGGACGCACCTGGCATCGCTGCTAGGAACAAGAAGCTACGTTCGGGGCTCCTGGCATCGCGACGAACGGCGCGATCGGACGCACACACACACACACACATCTGCCAGCACCCTGCGGCGGCACCAACACCGAGCCAAGAAGAAGTCATCTTTCATGTCCAAGCATCGCTCTCTCCTGTTCGAATCTAAAGGCTTCAGCGGCACATTTCTTTTCGAATTCGGCATTCCTCTTGCGGGACTCTTTTTTGGTGAGCATGACGGGACCCAGACCATCATCAGAATCATCATCGCTGCCTAGCACATGCGCATGTTTGAAAGAGGCCTGCAGCAGTTTCATGAACTTAAGTTTCCCTAAAGAATCTAGGAACCAAATGAATAGTGCGAGCGCTTCTTCAAGGAAGCTCCCCCCTCAGCCGGGCGAGCTTCCTTGAAGAAGCGTAGGCTATCCAGCTACCTACCTTGCTACTACCTCCCCTCTACGGCTTACCAAAAACAAGAGGTTTGTCTATTGGTTCATACAGGTTTCAGTCAGTTCGAATGACCGCGCCCACCCTCAAGGGATTGTTTCCCCGCCAAATCCCCCGCCTTGTTTTCTTCTGTGTTTCTTCCTCGAGTCCTTCTTTGCTTTTCTGCGCCAGGGCAGAGTTTGGCTGGATTTCTCTGCACGGTTTGATCGGGACCCCAAGGATAGAGAAATAAGAAAACCAAGGAAATGACATAGCTTCTTGTTCCTAGTAGCGAGGCCCTTTGCTCCTAGTAGCTTCTTGTTCCTAGTAGTATGGCCAGGAGCGCCCTAGTAGCATCCTTGCTCCTAGTAGAACAAAATAGTCTTTCAGAACGACATTGCGATTGATCACTTGAGGGAATCAACTTGGGCGGGCACACTTTGACGGCGCCCTGTGACAACACAGAGTGAGCATCTAAGGCCGTGGATATCAAACAGAGTCTTTGTGTGTTAGCTGTCTTGTAGTTGAGGTTGAGCGCGCTGCTCGTAGGAGCAGCAAGAGATATGGGGTATTGCCGAAACGCTTCCTGAAAGCAATTCACCGCAAAGCATCTGCTTGATCCAAACCAACGCTGCTGAACCAACGCTGGAATTTCCTAGTTCACATGTCTGAAGATGCGCCCGCGAGTGGCGGGGGAGCCTTGCATTTGGTATGCCAAAGGTGGATGCCATGGTGCGAACCATCTATGCCAGGAGCGCCGTTCGTAGCTTCTTGTTCCTAGTAGTAAGGCCAGCAGCCCCTAGTAGCCTCCGATCGCTCCCTTCGTAGCGATGCCAGGAGCCCCTAGTGCGAACAATCTATTGAAACTTGGAGAATCGTTGTGAGGGCCAGAGCAGCAAGCTTTCATGCGACCCTTGAACCTCCAATGCGAACTTTCGCACTGGTTCCCAAAGCCTTCAAGATTTCCACGTGCATGTTGTTCACAAGGCGTTTTGCACAAACATGTGGTGTACATGGTGTCTTTGCATCTTGTGTTGAATGAGGTGATGTGTATTAAAGGCAACAGCAAAACCCTCCGACAGTCAAGGTCCCAACGTGCGTGTCTTCGTCTTCATTTTTCCTTTCGACTACAACGAAAAAGCATAAAAAACCACAGAAAAATAAACATTGATAAACATAAATGAATGAATCCCGGATGACGCCCAGATGAAACCCACGAACCGTTGCTTGACTGACATTTTTGGTTTGAGATTCTTCTGGGGCGCTCTTGTGAGACCCTCTTGTTGGAATTGTTTGCAAGAACACTTTCTTTGACATTTCTGTTTCTGGGACCTCAGGGTTAGGCTCACAGTGACTCAGTTCTTGGATGTTGTTTTCTACATGTGTGCTGTCATGCGTGCTTTTATGGATGTACTCTCATTTGTGTGCTCGCGTATACGTTCTGTCATATGTGTTTTATGATTTTTATGTGTTCACATATGCATGCTCTCATGTGCGTGTTCTAGGATATGCTCGCTCATGGGTGGCTTCGTTTGTGTACGAAGCGACTTGTCGAGAACATCAACGTCAATGAGTGCCTTGTGGGAAATCTTTTCGACCGACACCTGCAAAGCCTATTTTCAGCACCGGATTTGTCCAACAGCACGAAGAACCCAAGGTCAACTGCGTTTTGGAAAGGATCAAATGGAGAAAACTGAGCAGGAAGCATCTCGGTCATGCCCAGCATGAGGGCTGCCTCTGAGTATGGAGCTTCGTGGGAAAAAGGTCTTCTCACACAAATAGAACTAGGCGGCATTCCAAGCAAACCGAAAGGGTGCTGCGATTGATGCACTGGTGTGGTAGACGCTTGCCGGCTGCTTTGCATTTTGCTTGCCGGCGGCTTTTCGAGTGATCTGGCTTGGCCATCGATGAAACATCATAACAGGCACAGGCGGCTCATCAAAGGACAGAAAGCTTCAATAAGTAGGTTGGAGGCCATTCGCTAGTAGGTTGGAGGCTATCGCTAGTAGGTTTGAGGCCATTGCTAGTAGGTTGGAGGCCTCTAACGGTTAGTTTCCTTGGGCACTTTTGTTCAACCTACCAATGCCCGTCATGTCGTATATCGCGTGAGACTGCACCGGAAAGAGATTCTTTTGCACAAACGGACATGGGGGTGCCATGTTCCCTGACCCACCAGTCAACATTGACCAAAGCTTGAGCTCTACGTATGTATGCTATGCTGATTCTAGAACACCAAGCTCTGGGCATTCATTGGCAGTTACCAAAGGTATAAAAACTTGGTCCAATGAGGCTAGGTCTCTTTTGCTGTACAATTCAATCAAAAGGCACTCAATGTGGTTTTTCTTCCCCTCACACCCGCCAGGACTGCCCATGACTGCCGCTGTCTACCTGGGAGAACCGTTGAAGGCGAGAGGAGTGTTCATGGTAGCTTACTATTGGCCTAGTCGATGCTACTTAGGTTCTTGACAGCGAACAAGCCCTTGAGGCTTGCCGTGGCTTGGCCCACTTTTCTTGTTGTTTGAAGGGGTTGTGGTAGATTGGCGAGAAGAAGGCACTGTCTTGGGTCTTAGAGTACCGACTTCCAGCATGCAACAACTAGATGGACAAAGCGAGCCAAGTATGTAGGATTGTCTTTTCAATGCCATCGCAAGAAATCAATGGCAGTCGACAGCTTAAGCAAACACGATCAGGGGCCTCAACTCTTGAGGTGAGTGGTGGGATTTCATGTCGGACAACTATCTCTTCACAATTTACAATAAACTGGTCTTCCCTTCCCCTCGATTGATCTAAGCTGCTTGGCAGGCATCCTGAGCAAGTAGCTTTTTCGGCCATCGAACTTGCCCTTGATCTCCACCTGATACGTTGCCGGTCAACAAACTCTTTCGGTGGCCATGCCGGGGAGCTGGTCAGAAGCGATGGGCTAAAGGCCCAGTGCTCTTTCCTGTTACTTGACTCGTGATCCACGTGTCTTGGCTCAAACGTCTTGAGAAGACGAAACACGAGGGCTGGCGACAGGGGCTCCCACCTTCTCTTTAGAAACTCTTCAGAATCCTTTGGAAAACAGTAGGTTGGAGGCCATTGCTAGTTGTAGGCCATCGCCAGAACAGGCGATCTTGGAGAGCTGAACCCAGTGGTCTGATGTATCCTACTTGGACATCAAGGGTTTGCACCCACGGTCGGTGTGGCCCAGTTGGTCCAGCCCAGTCCACGCGGTTCTAGCACCGCGCCTGGTCGCTCTGTGCGGTGAAGTACTGATCCAAGGAGACATCTCCAGGGCGGCGCAGCGTCAATTTTGGAGCACCGCGCTTGCCCAAGAAGAGCAAACCTTCCTGAGATGCCCAAGTGTCAGGCTTTTCAGGACCTAACGGCTTGTTTGGTCGAAAAGCTCATTTCGCTCATTTGGCCTTTGCCCAAGCTCCACACATTCCATGATGACAGACTCACAATTTGGGGAAGGACCTATCCAGGGTCAATATTGCAACCGTGAGTCACTTAGTGGCAGGTCCATGCATTGGGATTGGCAACCCCTATGGGGGGACCTCTGTGGGGGAACCCAAGGACCTCTTAGCTCCTGAGCCCCGTGTGAATGCTCGGAGCTTCTGCATAGACTTCAACACTGAAAACATCTCGATGGATTCGGAGGCTTGGTGGAATACGATCAGTTGAATGAAGGCTCAACTCAGAGCAATGACTACTGCCATGGGCAATATCAACATATCTACATATGCATTATTTATAATGCAATCAATTGGGTTCTACTTGAGCGGATGTCTATGAACCTATCAGCCCAAGCAAGATGATAGACTTCTTGCTTCTCACGTCTCCCGCCAAACCACCCAGCGAGACCAAGCATCTGAGCCGGTGTTATATCTCTCCGTCCTTGCGACATGTCTCTGTGATGCCACGGACATGTCGGAGAGACTGGAGTACTTGGTTCGCGTTCCCCCGGCTTTCTGTCTTTTCTAGCTCTCTAAAATAGCTCTTAACCTGCAGTACTGGAACATACCTGGTTTTTGCCAATATTCCGACAAGGGCCTTATGGATAGAAATTATCTGTAGCAAGCAACACATGTCAATGTAATTACAGCTTGTACACAAGACAGTTGACAATGGGAGCATCTATAAGAACCACCATACTGCACACAAGTGCAACATATACTTACACAACAGCACACATCACAATCATCATACGGAGATCTCCCGAATTCGGTATGAACATCCTGAGTATTCACAAGACTCCAAACGCATCGAGATGAAGAATAGCAATCCGGTTACTGGTCAAACTCTGATTACCCAAGAAAACACACGACGTAACGTAGGTCAGTATTTGCTTGGAAAACAGCATGCCGGTGGACCTTCCTTTCTTGCTACGAATCCACCGGTGCATCAGGTTCTCCTTGGTTTTGGCTTCCTGTCTGGCCCCATTGGCGGTATTCTGTTCAGGTCTGGTGACCTGGTGTGCTCTTGTTTCGGCTTCTTTGGCTATGGTAAACTACCTCATAGCGATGGCCTCCAACCTAATGGCGATGGACCCTCCTTTCTTTTGAAAGCCCCCTCCCCCACGCAGCTGGGCCAAGCAACCGGCCCTCGTCTTCCACCTCCAGCTCATGGCCGGTGGCCAACTCCAGTGGAGCATCGTTGGAATTCGCCTCCTCGCCTTGCTCCAAGCGATAGGGCTTTAAGACCTCGGATTGAACGGAAGCTATTAGTAACAAGAAGCTACTAGGAACAAGTGCATCGCTTCTAGTAACAAGTGCCTTACTAGTAGTAACAAGAAGCTATTAGTATCAAGGAGCAAGTGCATCGCTACTAGTAGCAAGTGTACTTAACTACAAGCGCTGGGGTTTAGTCACCCGGGCTTGCAGAAAGTCACCCGGCCGCATGTAAACGCAGCATTAGTCAAGAGTCACCCAGCTCGCGAAAAGTCACCCGTTTTATGTTAAAACACAATGTAAGCGCTCTAAGGAAGTATGTTTGTCAAAGCTGCTATACATCAAGAATTCACTGCCCCTGTGCAGGAAAGAACTAGTTTTATGTCGAAGTTTGCAGCGTTTTGGTGACCGAACCCCAATCAGAACGCAAGATTAGCCTGCAAACATAGATGCAGCATTCCATTGAATGAGTCGGTGGTTCCAACAGTCAGCGGTCTGGCTAGATTGATACATTTTTTGTCGGAAACATGGCTACACTGGCGTGAGTGCCTCTAACCTCTAACCTGCATGTAAACGCAGCATCCAAACAATGTTGCTGACCAAACACTCTTCCAGTTATATTGCCATCTTGCATCTGACCCCATTGATCCCCATTGTAAACGCAGCATCCAGACGACTTTCTACAAGACCAGACGACTTAACACAGGTACTTGTAGGAACAAGAAGCTACTAGTAGTAATGCACTTGTTACTAGTATGACGGTAGGTGTTTTGGCGGTGGAATTTGCACTCTATTGTTGTTGCGTTTGCTGGCGCTGCTGAAAGGATTCCTTCGTTTGGGGAACTATATAGGATTTTGAAGGGGTATGTCCTGCAGTTTATGTTTCCACTTTGTCACTCTTTGTCTTCTCGGGGTGGATTTCGTTGCCTTTCTTGCTTCCAACAACCTTCCCCTGGGCCTGGCAAAGTTCAATTCTCAAAGTGTAAGCCTTCCATCTCTATCTGAGGGCGGAGCATTTACAAAACACCTACAATGTGGGTAGGTCCAGTCTTCAGTACTTCTCACCTTTGGTGAGATCATCACAACCGCTGACTGGTAAGGTCGTTGGAGGAAGTCTGAACAACCTTCTGTATTCCTTTTCCTTTTGGGCTCGAGCCAGCTCCACCATGACGTCCCGCTGGCCATCCAAGCTGCATAGTGTAAGGGCTGCAGCTGCAGCTTCGCCTCTATCAGAGAGACCAACTTCCTCAGAACTCATCTGAGAGACTTCGCTACGAACGGAGCAAGGACGCTAAAAACGGAGCAAAGGGGATCGCTACGAACGGAGCCAT